CCCCACAATACCTCCCACAATACTCCCACAATACCCCCACAATGCTCCCACAATGCCCCCACAATACCTTGTATGATCATTGTATTTCCTTTCCCCCTCTCTGTGTTTCAGTACCGCAAACTGGTCCTGTTCCGTGTGGTAAACAACCATTTTCTCTAGTTGTAGACTTTTTTTGCTGTTGTTTCTCTTTGTGGCTCATCGCGCTGGAAGCAGGCTCTCGTCCAAGTCTTCATTTTCTAATTGTTGAACCACGCTTATTAATTTATTTTATATTTTCGAGAAAAAAATTGTTTGCACAGAAAGCTCCACCCTTTAAAGAAATGCTTTAGGTTAGATTGGACCAAAGATCTTTGTTTCTGTGAGCAATATGTTGTATAGGACAAGCTTAAGTAGTCAGCTGGAACAGTCAACCCATTGTCTGGTAAATTTCCTCTGTAAGTGTAACGTGAGGGAACCTCTGCCCTCTGGTATCTCACACATCTACTCCTCTGTGCACCATGGAGCAACATTTGGCTCCACCAAGTCCAAGAAAACTAAGCGAGCTTGAATTACATCACAATCAGCACATGCCCACAAATAGACGAGTGCCTGGTTTCACCCACGCTGCCACCCATTTACCATTTCCTGGATTCACTGTTGTATTTTACCCCTCTCTCTGGCCCACAGTCATAGGCTGTGTCCTTGTACACCCACAGTCATAGGCTGTGTCCTTGTACACCCACTAGTCATAGGCTGTGTCCTTGTACACCCACAGTCATAGGCTGTGTCCTTGTACACCCACAGTCATAGACTGTGTCCTTGTACACCCACTAGTCATAGGTTGTGTGTTGTATTTTACCTCTCTCTCTCTGGCCCAGTCATAGGCTGTGTGTTGTATTTTACCTCTGTGGCCCACAGTCATAGGCTGTGTGTTGTATTTTACCTCTCTGGCCCACAGTTTGTCCTTGTGCTAGAAGACCCACTAGTCAGACTTTTCACCTTGACGTACCGCTTACTTGTTAGTTTCTGTGTCAGTTTTTCCATTGTGAAAAGGTCTGGGTGGTTCCCCTTTGAGCCTGTGGCACAGTGACAGGATGGGAAACCCTGTAGACGTCACAAACCTAGCCCCTGTACTCTTTCCTTGTCTTTCCTTCTGTGAGCGATCCTTAAGTCTCACCTGCCCCATTGCACATTGTTCCATTGTAAATTGTCCCATTGCAGATTGCCCCCTTGTCCCATTGTAAATTATCCCATTGTCCCATTGAATGAAAGCCCCATAGTAAAATGCTTCCGTCCAATTGTACATTGCCCATTGTAGAATGCCCCATAGCCCCCCCTAGCCCCATTGAATGAACACCCCGTTGTAGAATGCCCCATAGTCCCTTTGTAGAGTGCCTCATTGTCCCCTGTCCCATATGGTAGAATGCCCCATAGTTCCACTGTCCCCTGTCTCATATGGTAGAATGCCCCATAGTTCCACTGTCCCCTGTCTCATATGGTAGAATGCCCCATAGTTCCACTGTCCCCTGTCCCATGTGGTAAAATGCCCCATAGTTCCACTGTCCCATGGTGTAGTTGTAGAATGTAGACAGTTGTAGATGTGAGCTTGGTGTATATATAGTTGTAGAATGTAGACAGTTGTAGATGTGAGCCTGGTGTATATATAGTTGTAGAATGTAGACAGTTGTAGATGTGAGCCTGGTGTATATATAGTTGTAGAATATAGACAGTTGTAGATGTGAGCCTGGTGTATATAAAGTTGTAGA